ATAAACTTTTAGGTTTGTGATGAATCTAAAATGAGGTTTAGATAGTATATAAACTTGGTTATGCTAGGAGCTCAAAGATTTTGTTTACTACTTCAAACAGTTTGCCTATTAGCCTAATCGCCGCTGAACTGACCAGTTCGGCTAAAATCTGACCCTTTTTTTTTTCAGTGTAGAGGTCATTCACGATTTCACAAGACTTGTGGCAGTTGTCGTTGCTCAGCTCAAAAGTGGGGTTTTTACGACTACTCAGCGGTGTAAACTGTTGACAGCCGTCGTGAGTCAACACAAAGCGCAGTAGTTTGTGCTGGAATTCAAACCAGAAGGTACACAGGACATTAAAGTGGGTAAAAATACGATTACGTAGCATTATGTCAACGATCATTGTGTCAACAAACAATTGAACGCATTTCTGACAAATGGAACTATGTGTATTAAGACATGAGCCCTTAATAGCAGGGCTCACGTCAAAATACACATAATTCCGTTTCATAGAATTACGTTCAATTTTCCCAAGATTTTGTTGACACAATGATCATTCAAAAATAAAAAGTTCTGACCTTTATGCTGCCGTGCTAATATGTACGTGTCTTCAGGCGTTGCCAAATTTCCTCTTGCAAATCACTGATTTTTAGGAAAATTTTGGAACATTTTGATTGCCAATTCCTCAGATAATTTTGTTTGTAATTTGATCGAAAGTGTCTAAAAATCTCAAGGAAAACTATTCATAATTTTTCTAAAAAATAAACATTTTATCGAAGAAAATTTGACAACTCCCGAATGTTCATAAAATCCGCACAACTGTTTTCTTGTAAAAAATTATATTGCCCAATTAAATTTGGCAATAGCTGATTTGGCTTGGTTCCTCTCTGTTTAACGCGGTCCAATTAAGGAAAGGAAAATACGAGCAAATCAGCGGGTATCTGATGTTCATTGCCGAATGACCTCGCTCAGATACACATAATGGTCATTACCGACCTAGATTTTAATTTGTAAAATAGGATAAATGCAATTTGTATTGTCTATACATCTTAAAAATGATATAGTACAATATGATGATACAACTTCAACTTCTCGATCGAAAATAGCGTTTTTCACTCAACATTTTTATTGGAATAATGGTCAACCCTCAAATATCAACCCTTCATCAGAAACACACCTCACAATTTGAATCAGAAAATGAAAGTAATTTCATCATATCTTAACATACCAGCTCATCAGTACTTGTTTTTCCGGTTTTGCGGACCTTCACTCTTCCACTTTCAACTTGTGATAATGTTTGTGCAAATATTAATAGTGTGAACAATAACACACGACGTTTCTTAATGCTTGTCATCTCGGGCATTTCCCATTTTTGTTCATTCAAAAAGAATAAAAAAAGAAAATAAACACAATTCACTTAGGAAAATTTTTAGGTTACCACGTGTCCCTCTTCTGGCTCGATGCCTTACTTGATAATCTGTAATCAACTGACGGACATAACCGTATATCAGCTCTTGAACTGTACTTGACTTTTGACAAAAAAAAAAAAAAAAAAAAAAAAAAAAAAAAAAAAAAAATTAATCCCTATCAGATTAACATGAGACACTCATGAGCCGTGGGCATGGGACAAGAGCGTCGTGGACAAGACTCATGAGTTAATGCATCTGATCGTCACCCGTAATTGGCTCCGACGTCACCGCTGACGACACTGATGCCTTTCAATTATCATTCATTCTTATGGCCCTCAAGTAACGAGCACACTCCTTCTTTTTCACCTGTCTCCAGTTCCGTTTAGCAGAAATACTTCCAATTGCTTGTCCTTTAAAAATAGAATACATGACAGGAATTCTGTATCATTTCAAATCCAGTTAGTTTTGGCGCGTATACGTAGTATACCGCCTTTGCGATCGTTTCGAACCCTGCTCGATACAATAACCGAGTCCCTTAGTTCCTTACCGAAAAGTGACTACCGCGAACTTTTGAGATTTTCCAAAGCGTGTAAAAAGTTTATTTATCCATCAATAATTATGATTTAAAGTTGTTTCTCATTCTGGGGGTCGCTAGTTTATGTGCAGTGAATACCAAGAGTCTACGTTACTTGGTTTTTTTAAAAAAAGCCTAAGAATGCGACGCGCTGATTTAAAATATGCATATATAAGCAGAATCAAGCGAATTGATTCGAGGATGGCTGAGCAGGTCGGCACTCTCGGAATGAGAATCTAACTCCTCCGTTTTGTTCAAAACGTTGCTTTGACAGATCTGTAACCTCGGTTATACTGTTCAAAAGTTGGTACCCGTGCTCTGAAAAACCCAAATAAGCCAAGTTCGTGTAACTATGGTGTCATTGCCTCGACCGGGCTGTGCTGTGTTGCCAATTGTTGGAGGATAGGTTACTTGCCCGGTGGTGGCTACCGCCACTCATGATAGTGCAATCTGTGTAAGTGCAATCTGTGATGAGCCTCGAGACTCATTAGACCATTAGCTAAACGTGGCTCATACAGGAATCCACTTACCCCTCTCTTCCCCACGCTCCTGATCACTGCGTCGGCGTCTCGACGAACAATACGAAAAACAACAGAAAAAGCAACTAAATTTGAGCTCAACTTAAGTAAGCTAAAATTCAATGGTATCTAAATAATATGGAATAATTTTAAGATAAAATTTGTTAAACTCAATTTATGTTTTAATTTTTGCATCTATATATAATACTCACCTTATATATAAATATCAAAGATTAAAATGCAAAAATGACAATAGACAACCATTTTTTCCATTTAGTAAAATATAGTCCATGACCTCTTTTAATCGCATTAAACTTACAAAGACTTGGCTAATGACGGTCGCCAAGCGAGGCCGGGATCCTCAGCCCCTCGCCCAATTACTTACGCTTCATTAACCATTTCACCGTCACGCTAGGATTCGTCCAATTTAAAAAAAAAAAAATTGTTTCGCGAGTTTTTAGCAATTTTTTCCTTACTTTCCGTTAAAACACGAATTAAAAGAGGTCTCATTCATAAAAATCGGCCAATTAGAAGAGAAGTTACAGTATTTGAAATCCGAAGAAATCAACAAAACTTCTCCAAACAAAAAATAAAATGAAGGGGAAAAAAAGAAATGTATAAATTACAATTTAATATGATTGACCTCAGAATTTGACAAGCAATTCAATTATAAAAAGGAGAAAAAATTGAGTGAAATTACAAAAAATTAGCCTCTTGCAAGGGGCTTTCTTGTATGAGTTTTGACCTGAAGACAAGTAAATCCCGTTATATTATTAAAACGAAATTGACTCCATAGTTTAATGCCTTAGTTTCTTGAATACGATTATTTTAAGCACTCGAAAATTTATACCAGCAATTTTACCCATGGAGTGATTTCCTGAGAGCTGATAATATCACGAATTTCTCATAGAGCCCTTCAAAAATGGCTTGCTTTTTGGGCAGCCGATTCGGCCATCAAACCGGGGTTTAAATGGAAGCTGATAATAACACAAAGCTCTGAGAAAAATTTTGAGATGAGTATAGGAACGGTTTGTAAATTACGAGGAGAGGCGGGCATTCTGTTCAGCATATCGATACATAAGTATTTTCACACGTAGAATTTAATTTTCACGTCAGGGAGTCGACATATTTTGATTTTTTTTATTTTATACGGAAAATTTATGGTTTTTCGGGATTGAAATTACTTACAATTGTTTCATGAAAAATGAATGCACCGAAAATGACTATAGCATTTTGACTTTCACATACGTGCACTCACTAAATTGATTGGTAAATTCAAAGAGTGGGTACATCGACCTGGTATATCAAGTTTCTGCGATTTTTTACGGCAAATCGGTAGATTTTCGGGATGTGGATTGCTTACTTTCAATTCATGAATGAATAAAGCATGGGCATGGTTGAGCTTCTTTGCATGAAAAGACGTTTAAAATAACAAAATCAAGACATATTTAAGACAATGGACCACTAGACAAGGTACGATTTTAGGCATTCTGATACATGTTTCTTGACCAGAATTTCACGTAAAACACGATTCGCGCAACGAAAATTACCGAAATCAACTCCCAAAATAAGCCCCAAAATACCTTTAAATCGACTTTATCTTCTAGGAGTTCGACAGAATTTTTCCTTTCTTCGCTTAAATTTTTCCGTAGCACTTTTCTTCAAGAATCTGAAAAGATTTTGCTTGAGGCAGATCAAAAAACTTAAATTTGTTCGAATAGCTTTCTAGATTCACAATACACGGTCTCGTGAAGGTGCGTCGTTGACCTTGCAGTGTTGGATCGTGAATTCTCTTGTTGTGCTGCTTGCCTTTTTTTAAATCTCTGTAAATGAAAACTAAAGGGGTTGATATGTGCGAGTTAATGACGCGCCTTATCAACACATTGTGTTGGAGTTCACTGCTTGTTCTTTTTTCTTTCTTTCTTTCTTTTTTTTTTTTTTGTTGTGTGTGTGTTGTGTGTCGCACTATAGGTGGTTTTAAAAATTCCAAGAAAACGCCCAGATCCGTGGTAAAGTTTTCAACTTTCACCATCGATGAAAGCAGGAAAATACCGTGCCAATCGTCCCTAAAATGTTGTAGATCAGCATTTAATCTTTAAAGCAATATAGAATTTAAATCACACAATTTCTAAGCATGCATGAACATTTCTTTGCCATGCTCTAGGTTTACAAGCACATTTGTCTTGGGTTCTTTCTCATTCAATCCAGTTCAAATATTGCCGTGGCTCGAAAGTCTTTTACATCATCGAACGGGGAAGTGCTTACCATTTTCTGCACTTAAATCTTGTTATTATTAATTAAAAGTTTCAAAGCCTCGGACATTCACCTCCGTATACAATTAGGGTCTGTTAGGAAACGGATCAATCTTACTTTGCACTCAAAGCGGTTTAAGGTTTTAGGGGAGCGCTATTTCCAAGGAGTGGATCCTTCGAGAAAACTCTGCTGCCTCTTAAATTTAAGTTGCGGGTTTCATACTCTTTTGCGATGCTCCTCCTGATCTAAAGTCTAGTAAAATGAAATAGTTGGATTTTATTTGACGTCTTAATTATCGTTGAATGTAGAGGACCGTTAATTACAGGAGTCTTGTCAAACTTTCGGAGTATTTTGGAAAGTGTAGGAGGTTCCTTTCGAGGTGTCTCTGTGACGTCGTAACAATAATTGCACGGTTAAGTAAACAGTTGAGGTGAGTTGGCAAGTGTCTCGGGAGAGTGAACTTGGGAGTTCAGCTTTATAAATTCTCTCAAACCCTTTAAATATTAATGGGAAATTTTCGATATTCTTTTCGAACCTCAGTCTTGGTTTTTTAAGGTTTCGGTGCAAGGTTTACGAAACCGTGATTGATTGATTGATTTATTTATTTATTTGTTAATCGTGTCGTCATTCATTTATATCGTTCCTGAAAATATATGAATATACTTCAAATATAAAAAGAGAAACCAGCCATTTTTACATTTCATCCCCTCTTATATGACGTATTTCACTGAAAAAAAAAACCCATTGGATCTAGAGTCCAGACTCTTAAAAACATTGACAAGAAAACATACTCTTGATTCAATCAGATTTTTGCTTCAATCAAAAGGAAATCTGCTCAAATTAAGAGGCTCGGTTCTTGATTTAAGCAAAAATCCGATTGAATCGAGAGTATTTTTTCTTGTCGATGTTTTTGAGAGTCTGGACTCTAGATCCAATGTGTTTTTTTCCAGTGCTGTGACGCATAGCCAGATCCAGACCATTATCCCTTTAAAAAAAGTTCATTTTCTACCAGCCGTTCTAGTTTCGCTTTGAACGGCTATCACGGCTACCCAAGGGGTAAGCTGTACGCCCCCTAAATCCCCGGTCACCATTACGAGAGTAACGTTTGCCTCGCTCCGTAAACCGATTTTCTTAGTAATTTTACATTTGATCACTTTGGAGAGTGGAGACTCCCAATAGAAAATGGTGCTGTCACCGAGTCTCATGATGGGAGCATATGCCATCATTTGCACGTCAATTTTATGGAGATGTAGCTGTAATGGGAATCGACCTTTCATTTAAAAACTCATTTGAATGGGATGCTAGTCCCATCTAATGGAGAAAATCATAACCATGAATCTATTTCCGCGATTTAATTCACTAAAATAGCCAGTGGCGCAGCGAAGAAGTCATTAAGGGGGGGGGGGGGGA